GAAGAAACAAGGAACTCCTCGGAGTCAAATCAATAAAAGTCACAACCCGGAACTCGGGAGAAAAAAGGCCACTTCAACATCGACCAGACCACGACGACGAGGGATTCCAAGCTAAAGGGTCACGTGAGCATCGGCGAAAGAGGACACGTGATAAAAGAACAACCAATGGAACCGCCCCACCGAATAACTGATCGCGGTCAAAGGTCACCCCCGGCTACCAGCACGCATATCAACACACACGTGACACTTCTCGACGCGCAACCACTAACCCACCGCTACGCACAACTACGCTCCCTAATAACGCACTGATGATGTCACCTCCAATGGTGATGAAACGTTTGCAATCAAATTGCCCAACTCAGCGAACAAGCCGACGACCATCTTCGCAACCTTAACTACCGACATTTTTCTCTATAGAAAATGTACGCATTTCGAACACACAATTACAAAAAGCATTGAGTGGGCTCTGAATATAATTGACTGTTTTGTGCACATTTTCTACCAATCAGAGCTCGACTGGGTACTCAGCTGGCAATTGGCCGTATTCTGACGAATTACAAGTAGGTCAGGCTTTTTGGCCGTGGCAGCGTCTGATAGCCACCGGTTAGGCCCTCTGGCCCTCGGCGCCCGCTTAACACGAGGCGAAACGGCGGACGTTTTACTATCCTCGTAAATTGGTGCGTCGGCTTTTCTTGCCACAACCCTTCTGTAAACTTGTTAAAAAACTACAGATCTACCGCATTACTTAGCATTCTGTAGGTAAGAAGCACATGCCGCGGGATTGGATGGCCTTAGTTACCCCAGCCGCGCCTACTCTTACCCCTTTTAAGGAATTCTTGAATAGGAATTACCAGCTTTCATGTCACAGCGAACGTGAAATTTGTTGGTATCTAATATGCAGACGAATTTCATCTCATACGGGAGATCGATGAAGCATAAGCACAAGCGCTTCGGAGACCCTCATTGCATCTTTGAGAGTGGACATCCATGTCCATGCAGCCCTTTTCCGTCCGGAACCCCGCCTACTGTTTTCGGGTTCCGTCCTTACAAGCCATCGTGTTACACCGTGAAATGAGGCGTATGGTTACAACGTTAGTCGAAGTAATTCCTTTGATTTCCACGCCCTGCGAGCACCCTTCCGGAAATTAAGCTCCAATTTCAGTTTAACTCAGTTGTTTGGGATTCCCTTTTTCACAGAAACGGGTAATTCAAGCAGGCAATGATTGAAGATTTTTCCTTTGTACTCAAACGGAGTGGGTGAGATTTCGTCAAGACCAGCATTTCGGTGACGCCTACGAGATGAAATGCACCCTTATATTCATGAAGCCGTCTGGACTGTGTTGCGGATTTGGGTCTGATCAGAGAATAACACGTGGCCAGTTATTCTTGGAAGCGTTCAATCCATTGATTCAATTCTTCAGTGTTAAAAAGGAGTGAGCCGTTTTTTGATTGACTGTTCCTTTCTCTAGAAGTCTTTTGCTAGGGAGTATCATTTCAAATGGTTTTCGCACCGTCCTAGAGTTCCTCGCCTCTATCTGATGGGGTTCCTGGACTTGCCAAGTCCTTCGATTCGCGCACATTCTCTTCATATACAGCCCTACAATTGCGAACGGAGGCACTATCTGGAAAACGCATCAAAAACCAGTGCCTAGCTTCCATGTCACCCAAAGAAGCATGAGGGCTGGGATACTGCGAGCTTACCCAAGCCTAGGTAGAGGAAGTTGAAAGGCATAGGTCAGACCTTCCGGTCAGTACATTCGCGCACTAACCACTGAGCCATCTCGACAAGGGATGTCATGGGTGAACAAACATGAATGAAATCCACTTAGGCAATCAAAATTTTATCCGCGTCATTAATTGCTGATGGCTTTATAGTCTATCTGCATTTGTTATCATCTCAACTGTGTGGTAGCTGTGTTATTTAGGAGATTGGTGGAGTTATCGCTTCATGTTTTGTAGTCTGAGTGGCAGAGTCCCAAGAAAGAAGACAAAGGAAACCGCGTAAAGGTTTTGGTACTGAGAATGAACCAATGGAAGAAAGAGCGCTGCGGCTCAGGAGCTGGAGAAATAAAACGTCGAAAACATCGAACTGTTTGTTAGGTCCTAACCGTCCTAATATTCGTTTCAAAATATGTGTAGGTCTTCAGATTAGGATTCACCTGCATTGGTGCAAATGTCTTTGGGTTCCTGCTGGACCACCGTCATGGTGTGCATATGGATTCGACTGGTGCCTTGTCTGTTTGCACGGAGAACATGTGTGGATGTTACTTCAAACGTACCCAACAATATACCAGAGGGATCAAGTTATTTGATGTAGGCGGTGCAGCGTGTCCCGGGCGAAGTTGATTCGCGTGGGGGACCCATGCGGCACACTGTGTGGACGTGGTAGATGTTGTTTCCCATACGGCGCTTCATGTCCACTTTTCCCAGCCGTTGCGATAGTTCTTAGTTGAAAACCGAAGCACCGGGCTTTTGGTAGTGTAAACAACATCGTGATGGTGGTTGTGTCGCTCAAAACGTGTGTTGCTTTTTAGTACATGTGGAGGAGATGGGCATACCGCATCTATGGGTATGCGGACTTTACGCCCCAAAAGCGTCCCGGCATGTGAGTTGTTTGGCACATTTGGGTTAGGTGTCACCCGGTAACTTAACAAGGTTCCATTAATCTCCGCTGACGTTTCCTTCCTTGAAGGTTTTTGAAGTGCTCGTTTGAGTGTTGACAAATTTTTCGACTTAGCCATTAGATTGGGGATGGAATAGTCTGCAAAACAAAGTGAATTCCGCCGAGGTTAATACACTGACTTTATCTGATATCGATGTTCCTGGTGCACCGAAATGACTGAAGATGCTAGTGAGCTGCAAGAATGTGGAGCGAGAAATGTTGTGATCCATAATGATCATCTCTGGCCATTTACTGTAAGGATCAACCGTTGTAAGATAATTCTGACTGTCAATTGGTTCCGCAAAATCAATATTTAGAAGCAACCAAGGGTTAGTTGATGCAAGCCACGATGCTAACTCGGTCTTCCACGGTGCTTCTTTAGAACACTGACTGCACGAGTTCCGCTTGTCCGTGCCCGGCCAGTATACATAGCTTCGCTCTAAGGCTTTCATGCAGCTGACGTCTGGATGCCCAAAGTGAAACCGCTTTAATACTCTCACTTGCAGTTTAAGTTGTATTATAACACGTTCAACAAGAAGGCAACTATCGAATTCATATAGAGAAAATCGTCGATGGGATAAGGATGAATGTCGCGTGTCGCTGACGACGGTCAGCGCGCTCGGTGATAGTGTACTACTTGTTGGAGCACGGACTCGCATCTGGTTTCGTCACGGGCCATTGACATAGTAAGCAGAAGGGCTCAAATGTGTGCAACGAGTATGGTGCCAACTTTCGGTTTGAGAGAAATGGAACCCATAATTGTATCTTCTGCCGGATGTCGTTGTGAGTCCATCAGTCCTAATAAGGCGTTTGCCTAGTCAATCGTATCCGTAGACTGGCATTCGATTAAAAATCCATAACCGAGGGTAGTAGTCTCCCATCACTGGAGACGATTCGCCGTGTATACTGAAACGCCTTTCTTTGAAGCTAAAATACCGGTAATCGATTTGTGACCGGTTGTAAGTGTGTCATTGCGACCTTGAAAGATTTTGTGGAATTTATTAACGGCAAACACGATCACAAGTGATCGTTTTTTTTATGACGGCAATTGCGTTCGGCTGATGTCAAAGTCGGGCTGCGTGGGTGGTGGTGTTTTTCACTTCCGTCAGGGAATCGGTGGTAAATAAACCCCTTGATTTTTTGGTTGGATGCATATGACGCTAAAATGATATACATATGTGGGTTGTAATGCACAAGCCGCAATTCTGATGACAGCAGTGATTTAACTGCGTCAAAGGATTATTGACACAGGTGACCAATCCGGGGGGACATCCTTCTTTAAGAGGTGGCTGAGAGGACCACGAGCATGATGCATATATGTACCGTATTAGCTCACCAACCTAAGGAAAGATCGTGGCGAGGACACATCTGTCGAAGGTAACACTCTGTATTGCATCAATGTTGTCGGAGTTAGGATGACGGCCAGATCTACCGAAAATGAAACACAAATATTTGATAAATATGAGAAAGAATGCACATTTTTCTGCTTGGAGATGAAGGTCGTCTTCCCGAGCTCGACCAACTAGTGAGGTTAGGCGATGGAGGAGTTCTTTCTGATCAGAGGGTGCCACAGGTTATCATCCAAGTACGCCAAGACGCCTGTTAACATGTTTTCTAGAACTGAGAGGATGATGATGTCAGTTGAGTTCGGAATAATCAGCACAAATCCTGACCTCATACGTCATCTGAACCACAGCAATGGCAGCTGCCGGAAGAAATTAGCTGACAGGCTAGATAACGTCTGAATTCTAGAGACAATCGAGTTCTGCGTCCACAGATGAAAAAGCCGCATAGGGCACAGGGCGTTTTGGTCTCAAGACAGGTTTGCTATTTGGCTTCAAAGGGTGTGTTACTTTGGCTTTAGAATAATGCTACTATCTTGCTACTATATTGAAAAAACATTGGAAAATTTTTATAGAATTGTACTTGTAAGTTTTTGGGAAATTCTTGCATGATTGAGGCACACGCCATCACATACGGACTGCAGAGGGACCCAAAGAAGATTTTATTGATCTTTTCAACCAGGGCCGAGAAATTTCAGAGGTAGCGAATGCCTTCAAATCGCACATTATTGAAGGGCACATCACAGTTTAGTTCACCAGTAAGCGGCGAGTTGTTGCCGGAAGCAGACTATGCAATCTTTAGTAGCAGAATACAATGGCTTCCCAAATTCATTCCAAGTGGAACGTGAAATAGCTGTGAGATGCGAGGCTGTATAGGGCTTATGACAGACAGGATGATTATTCTCGGAAAATGTGATATTCTGCGGGATGCGAAATCCATTTTGAATGATACAAAAACACAATTCAGTCGACACTGCTTCCGTTGTGATGTAGAAGCGGTTTTAAATACGCTCTCTAGGTGATCAATCAGCTTGGTTCTATGGGAAGCAAAATCCTCTCTTACGACCAGTATGGTGGCATGTCGCACTGGTGTTTTCTGAACGAGCAAAAGCAGCTGTAATGCCAGTCACCACGGGACCACTATGATGCAGAAAACCTATTGTGTTTGGGATGGCAATGACACTGAAATGCCCTATTACTGTTTGCGGAAACATGGTCCACTATATCGTTTGGGCTAGACGATAGTTGACCGATCATTGTGCTATCTTAGTTCAGTTGGACGAGGCGGTGACATTCATTACTGGGATGCTGTATGATTATCTTTGGGTTTTGTTCAGTTTAGTGCTATACTTCTGTGGGATGCTTGCATGACGAGAGGACTGGATGTCAGATATCAATATAAGCTCTTTAACGCGCTTGCTCAGCAAGGAATGTTCTTAAAATGTATCAGTGTTCTCAGAATTACGGAATTGTTGGAGTGAACGGAAGGCTGTCCACCAGCTTCTTTACACAAAGTGATGTCCAACGAGGATGCCCTCTTTCCATTTCTAGTTAATTTCACGATCTAAAAGATGGTGAGGCGATCGCTCCCAAACCCTGGTGTTCCAGTAGCTACTGGCGAAAACCTTGTCGGCGGGATATGTAGACAGTATCCTTCTTGTCTTCGGAGAGGAGAATAAGGCTCAGGTGTTTTTGGATCAACTGACCAAAGTAATCCAACAGTTTGTCGTGCGCTTTGCACGCACAAAGTGAGGTCATGCCTCTGGACGCGCAGTTACAGAATACGCCAATTACAATCCAAAAAGTGGCTTTCGAGGTTGTGAGACATTCCGCGTACCTTGGAAGTCGTATTGCAGTTTGACAGGTGAAGTCAATGCATGGTCCTCTTGGGCTTGGATCGCATTCGCGAATTTTCAACATGTGGCAGTAAAGCGGCATGTCCATAAATCTCAACGGACTTGTGCATCAGGCTACAACAAAGGATGTCTCGTTGTTTGGCTGTGATACATGGTCTCTGTGAACAGCGGAATAGAGACATCCTAAGGTCAGAACCATACCTTATGTAGGCTGATGTCAGCGAGTCCGCAGTGAGGGAATTAGAAGACGATTTAAAGAATGTGTCCACCAAATGCTGTGTTGGTTAGTCCGCTTATTTCACATGCTGAGTCATGGTTTTTGGAAGAGAATACCTCTCTCCGTGCCCAATTCAGAGTGGTGCAAGCTGCTATTTGGTCGATTTGTGACCTGGCACAGGGATATGAAATTGATTAACAAAAGTCTGGGTGCTGTGGGTGCGACTCACCCTCCAGAAAGGGGTTCACGTGATCCTCAACGTGTGTGGTTGGCGACACTGGAAGTCTACTGGATAGTCTACGCCAATGACGTCTCTGTTATCAGTATCTAGCTATATTTATTGAATGAGGTTTTTGGATGTAGACACCTAGGAATGATTGTGGTAGGCTAGCACTAAATCCTTTTCACATCCACTTTTTTCTTCACAAATAGGCTTTCAAGTAAATTGTGGCAGCGAAGTGCCAGTGTTGAACACTGATGTTATGCTGTTGATGATGAGTATGACGTGTCCATATTCGGACGCACCTTGACGAAATCTACAGAGAGATGTTGGCAACGGATATCTTGTGTGCACTTTTACTGACTTATTTATGTTAGTTCAACTGGTGGAGTCCTCGGTTGTTGATCTGCTCACCGAATTTGGCGACTTGATTGTCAATGGTTGTTCACCACCCGAGGGAACAGCTTTATTCAAACTAGCAGTGACGATATCTCCTCGATTGGTGACGAAACGTTTGCAATCCAAGTGCTAAGCTGGGACACAGACCAGCAACCAAGCAACATATCCGAGCTAGCTATATTCCACATCGCCAGTCATTTGCGGAGAATTTAGTGAAGCGGTCGTTAAGACTGACTCACATCTTCAACTTATCGTGTCAGTGATCCAACTGAACCGAGCTTTCTATTCATGAGGGAATCGACGCTTCGGATGACTGGAGTAGTGGGGCTTACACACACGAGAACACATGCATGGATCAATGCTGATTTTGACGTAGCTTTTTTCCTACATTTGTTTCGGCGTTTTTGTTCGTTAAGTCTAGCCGAAACTACGATGACTCCATTCTACTGCAATCCACATTTCTCCCTCTGCTGAGAAAGTTTTGCTTGGAAAATCTGTAAACCCTCTGGTTCTGCCGAGTGGGACTGGCCATGCGCTCTGCAACAGCATGCTTTACAAATGAGTCATGCCGTGTCCTTCGACAATTGCCATTTCCCTGGATGGTAATTTTGAAATAGGACGAATTAGTAAGGGATGTAGCTCACTCACGTAGTCGATGGTGCTTTCAACGCATTGCTCCTCATTTTCGATCTATTGAATGATTACGTCTTTTTATTATTGTTTGTCATTTCGTCCTTTTTCGCTCCAACATAACTAATCGTGGATGGTAATTTCAATTTTAGCACAATCACCTTGGAACTCCTCGAACGTCATTGGTCAAAATGGATTTCCGAACTCAGGCATCTCCTGCTTCACCGAGGGAGTTGTCAGCGTGGACGTCTGACGAAGACCTTGCAGCCCAGCGCGTATGTTGCTTCATTTTCAGACCTCTAGTGTTTTCCACTGCTTTTTTCGAATGTTTTCCTAGGAGGCATGCTGGGAATTCATGGCTACTTAAGACAACCCATCTTGCCACTCCCGAGTAGTCACATCCACCGTTAGAATTGAGTTCCCCTCTTGGGCTGTGTAAATTTTTGACTCAATAACCATAGAATCAACTCTGAAGACCTGGGGTAACTCATATGACACTTACTATGTACAAAATCATACATTAGTTTCGATCAGTCCACGATGATGCGGAACACGTTTAGTACCTTCATAAAAAACTACTGTGTGCATGACAGCTATGTGCTGGAAGGCTTCGCAGCGCGAGATAGGTCAGTGTTTAAGACGCGAGCTTATTAACCGGAAGGTCCGTGTTCTGAATCCAACCCCGGTATCTCAACTCCTTTCTGGGTCTGGACAGCCTGGCAATACCTGAGACCTCATGCTTCCTTCGGGTAGCGTGGCACCCAGGCACCGAAAGGGGATTACAGCTGAACAGCTGTTATGTCATTGCAGCCGTACGACTAACTGTTTGTTTTACAGATAATGTAATTCGCGGCTTCATAGTTAAGAGATCCGTTAAGGCCAGTACCAACAGGATGTCATGACATGATGGTACTGACAACCGGTGCTCCGTAAGGATGTAACAGAACTACGGTCCACAGTGCCGAGGCGCACTTTCTGCCCAGGTACATGTCATGACTATATAACCCATACATTTGCATAACCCATTAACTCGTGATTCTCACTCTATTTTCAGCTCATGTACTACAGTTATTAGACGATTAAAGCGTACATTACGTCTTCCTATTCTGTCTCCTTTCTAATCCCGTCCTGGAACTACTCGACTCGCAACAGTACAGCCAACTGCCATCTTCAAAACAATGTAGAACTAGTTAGCAGTAGCATTGCTGTGGCCAACGGTCCAACTAGCTAGACCTCCATTCACCTCATACCGAAGTCCATAGCCCCTCAGCTACTACTGTGCCAGAGAGACGGGCCGTTCTTGGGGAGGATCAGGCTTGTGAACTTTTTGCCACAAGGTGGAGGGCGATTTCGAGATAGTTCAGCAGTTACTGCTACCGAGAAGGAGGTTCGAATCCATTTCTGGTTTTATGACTGCTCCTCCAGGCATTTGTGCTTCCCTCACCTTTTCTTACAGGCTTGTGTAGATAGGATGCCACAATCGAATCAAGTCATTGGACGTTGGTAGACAAGACTAATCAACTTGACGTTTACAGTTGAAGACCAACTAGGGTTTTTGAAATTCAGACGTTGATGGATAACTTCCCGCACAAATATGGTTGACATTTTAACAGTGAAGGACTATCAGGCCCGGGTGCATTACAGTCCTCACAACTTTTGAGTCTATTTTCGTTCATTCACACTGCAAGCCTTATGTGTAACAAAGATTACGGCACACTGTGCCTCCAGAATTGAGAGGAAACGCCCATTTGTTTCCAATAAATCTAGATGACTACTGTGTAACTTTTTTATTCCCTGTGCATTTTGAATGAATAACTAACTACAAAGGTTGGTTGATATGATCATATCAGCTAGCCATTAGGCTTTTTCGAATGTAACCACTTCAATTTTAGCATATCACAAACTCATGGCTAGCTCCAGGATACACAGATTTACCTGCATGTGGATTTTTCACCTTGCATTCACAGGTATGCAGTGTGTAAGAACCATGAAAAAAATGGTCACAGTATGGTCAGATGACTTTGCTTTCATTTTTCCATCACGGATTAATTACTAATGCGGCGAAAATACCTATTCCTTTCTCGTTCGTCACACCCATTCGACTTTAACTGGACTGCAAACAAAACGGATCAAAAACACGTCTGTTCTCCACTGTCCCAGTTTTGTGTACATGTGTACTTGCACCTTGGAACTTGTGTTTCATACGGGTTACATAACGGCTTACAACAAAAACACAACTCCCCGTGTGACCGCAGCACCATTAAACCCTACATTACTTCTAACAATAGACATACGCAACTGAATCGGATCAGCAGTTCGGACACATGGGCGATCACGACATTTTTTTCTTCAAAATTTCGTTCCAACTGTGAGATTTAACTACTCTTTCGAGGTCTGTTGCACTGGACTTTGCTTGCAAGTCTGACCAGATAGTATAACTATCATGAAACCACCTCTTGTTCGTTCAGTGGGGTTCCTCATCATTTCCGAATATAACTTGGCGTACCTTCTTGACCTTTGGAACATTATTATCAATAATAATAATAATAATAATAATAATAATAATAATAATAATAATACTCGTTATTTCTTGCGACCTAAGACCTAACTAAAGTTTTAAAAAATCGTTCAGATGTAGCACCCTTTCGGTGCTTAACTGTAGTGTCGCACGAAGCAGGCACGAGGTTTAGGATACTGCCACGTCGCCCAAGCCTAGACAGGGTAAGCCAAGAGGTTCGAACCACGGACCTTGCGGTCAGTAAATTCGCGCTTCAACCACTTGGTCCAACTCGCCCCCTTTCGGTGCCTAACTGCCATACTACCAGGAGAGAGCACGGAGGCTGGAATACCGCCAGGTTACCCAATCCTAGACAGGGGTAGTCGAGAGGCAGAGGTTGAGTTCGAACCACGGACTTTTGGGTCAGTAAATCCGTGCTCTAACCGTTGAGCCATCTCGCCCGATAATGTAGCATTAGTGGGATAGGAAGACACCCCCTATCACCGCTTTTCAGTCTGAAAGGAGCGAGATGGCCGAAGTGGTTAGAGCCGGATTACTAAACCTGAAGGTCCGCGGTTCGAATCCGACCTCCGCCACTCGACTTCCCCTGTCTAGGCTTGGGCAACCTGGCAGTATCCCAGCCCTCGTGCT